CCCTCTTCTTCTTCCTTACCTTTGGAAGATGATGAACGCGATAACATATCTGAACCCCAAATCTTTTGGCATTTAAATGTTCTTAAATGTATATACATTGGTTGGTCCAGTACGTTCATTAGAAACCGATGTTTGCCCCTCCCCCTTGTTTATATGAACTCTAATAATGAAGTCAATAGCACACGACATTAGCTTTGAATTGAAAGAAGTTTAATTTGGCCTAAAGTTTGCGATATGTTCAAGGAACTTTCTTCCCGATGTCGAAAAATGCAATCTTTGGTCATTACGCATTGTTTTTGATTCACCGGTATTGGGCGGCTTATGTGCCATGTTTTATTCAAGGAAAATGGAGGACTTTCTTATTGAAAATTCAGAATGATATTTACAAAATAAAGCGTATTTCTTTAAAAAAAAAAGTACTCCATACAATCGCGATCCGGCGTAAGTGGTGTCCCTGATGTTGTCTTTCCATGCGTGACGCTCTTAAGTGGGTAACCATTGTGAGTGTGTTGTCGTTAAACACCTATGCAATTGCATAATCGAACAAAGAGTAACTAACAACTACAATATGGGTTTCCGCTAAAACCACCTCGTACTTCCATAGCACCTCGAAAAATGCCGGTAAGGAGGACGTTTGTAGCTGTGTAAATAGGATAGGGGAGAAGGAAGGCTTCAATCAGCCAAATGGGTTGCCTCGTGGTAAATTTGAGGAAGGGCAAATATTTCTGTGTCTTAATCCCAGCATGAATCTTAACCATAGCCCTACCCCAAACCTAAAATCTAAAGCTAACACAATTCCAAACGTTTACCTTTATCAGAATCCTGACTCCAACCCTAAACTTAACCTTAACCCTTACCTTAAGCTTACAGCTGAGTTCTCTGCAATTCGGCACAACGCTGCAAGTATTGTGGGTAGTTCTCTAGTCCGGGTCCTGTTTAAGAGGCTATTAAAGTTATTATTACTAAAGGTAGATCCACCTTTACAAAGCGGAATGCGTTGCGATCACACTCTAGCATCAGATAATCCTGATAAGATAGCATAGACAGTTCAGCCCAAGCGGAGCCATCGTAAGAATCAAAGTCGTCCCTATAGGTAGAAATTCGCCCAGTGCCTGACATAGCCGATTTACACTGATGGCTACGGGTTAGGTGAGGAATGAATGACCACCACCACAACCATTTAGGCAGCGCAAAACCAAATACAGTAGTCGCCAGCTATTAAACCCATGGTTAATAATATCGCCGCTTATTAAGCCCAATTTGGTCTGGGCCCGAGGTGGGCTTAATAGCCGGCGACTACTGCACAAGTTTCTAAAGATATTCACTATTTCTACATACAGCCGGCTACATTTCCACTGCTTACACCATGTAAATGAGTCTTTTGGGTAGTTTGTACAATGGTTTCATCAATAACCGGCCTATATCCACAGTACCGTCGGCGCCAAAATACGTTTGTGGAATGAACCAGACGTGATGAACACACAGAGTCTATCTTTTTTCAATGACAGTCATACACATACACGAAATTGTGCAGTAAACGTAGCTTTAAAATGATGCAATTATTGGTGAGCTTTGAGCTTATCGCAGTAGCTTAATTTAATAGGTGACGCCCTTTGCATTGCGATCTTCAGGCCCGGTTCCGTGTGGGAAGGGAAGAAGTGACACGCCACGTGGAAGGAATAGCATATTCTGCACAGTGCTGGTGAAGAATAAGGTGGGGGAAGTTGACAGTCGGACGAGTGTGCGTCCGGCCGTGAGGATCGGCATCCAAAGTGTAAGCACGACATTCGTCGCGGCCAGGTCATGTGTGAGTCAGCCCTAGGCATATGACTGGCCAGGCATGGTTGAGACCGGCCTACAAGTGCGCACGCGCTAGCATCCGCAAGAAGCCGAGCGTCACACGCGGACTTGGGTCACAACAAACTCCGAATGATGACTCCGAATAAATATCATACTATAGCGATCAACAACTCTTCTTCTAAGATAAATAACTGGTTAAGTTGACAGTTCATGCACCTGCTCAATTACTCCTAATCGGGCATAGCCTTTTTATTCATTTCTTATGAACATAATATTTTCCATTTTATGTTTTTCGACCTCATTGTTGAAACAGCAACGCACAAGTAATACTTTTCAGAGTCCGCCTGTCAGTGCAGAAGGACAAGGAAAACCCATTCGTTTAGCACCTACTTGCAATTCAGGCGGACCCTAATTTACGAATTTTATTTGTGGGAGTTCTGCTGTAAGACTGTGTAAATCTGGAATATATGCAGGCATAATGGCATTTGTTATTTTAGAAAAATGCAATTCTTTTAGAATGGTTGTATCAGGCATAGGGTTATTTTAGTTTGAGTATCATTTTCGGCCAGAAAAAACATGGTTATAATGTCCGAGGAGCTGATGATCTACAGAAAAAAACAATCGTGTGCAGCTTACTTACTAGTTCCAAAACGTGTTCAATTTTCTCAATTGGAGTGCATAAAATCCACTAAAACGAAAAATGGCCAACAAAAGCGGACTCTTCTCCTATAGGTCAGATCGAACCCTGTTATAGTACCTGCTGAAAAGCCAAATGCAAAAATATTAATTGAAATGCAATCACTCTCACGATATTCATCCGCCTTTATAACACCTATTGCATGCATCAGAGCAAAATTACAGGAAAAGTATTAACAATAAAAAACTTGACCATACTGCATTCATGAAATTGATGTCACAAGTAAACGAGAGATTTTGCTGACAGTTCGGTACTTTGGGTTTTGCAGCTTAATCAGGCAACAGAAAAACAGAGCGTTTTACTATCTTGACGGAAGGCAGTTTCTACGAGAACCAGTTTAGCAGTCAGATCAAGAGTCGCTGATTTTGCTTATTAAAAGTGCTCTGCAAAATTAAGACCACGTGACAACAACAAAGTCAAAAAAATCGATAAGTTCTGCTAAAAGCTTCGAATGATCATCGATCATGCTCATCCGAGGGCTTGTTACTGGCTAACAGCTGAGTTGCACTCAACATTTTCAGTCGATATTTTTTCGGTCTCAACGCGTGGTCGGAGGTCAGACTCGGCATATGCTGGCTGAGTCAAAATGCCACCGATTAACGGAACAGTGGAAAACTTAGCAAATGAAGCGCTTACGAACGATGTGATCCCCTTTATGATCGGCTTAGGCATTCTGGGGAGCCTCCTGTTGGGTTTATCGGCAACGTTGATTGTGCTTTGTATCTTGCAGCGTCGCCGCAAAAACCACAAGGATTACAGCCAAATTGAAAGCGACAGTGACTCTGAAGCTATACTCCTAAACCAGCGGCCACAATCAAATAGAAGAAAGGTCAACCTTAAAAAGAAAAGTGTATCAGACGAACAATTGCTGAAAGAGACCTTCTTAAAGGAAACAGATGCATTTAAGCCGCTTCTGCGTGCCAAAAATGCAGCCCCAATGATTGAAGTTAAGAATATGGATGACTATATCCCTTCAACTGTTGTTATACCTGTCCAGTCAGTTGCGGTAAGTAACTAATAGTCTTTAACTATCATTTACCGTAAAAATCTACTTGCTCATTCAAAGATGGCGCCTCGACCTATTGTATTAAGTTAAATAGTAACCAGAGCCTTTTGCGAATTAGTTAAGGCGTTTTCAAATGGCCACCGACAGACAACAGGAACATAACATATGTATCAGGTAATATGTCCACTGAACGATATTTATATGTTGACAGTTTTTTTCTCGGTCGTTTTATTTTGAGCTCTTGAAAGTAGGACGGTATTTTAAAGTATTTTTTCATCGTCTGTATAAGTAGTCCGCTAGCGAGTAAGGCATTTCAACGAAAATCATGTAGATTTAATGCGTTTAGCAAAGTTAGATATTCAAACATTTTTGTGTTGCGGGCATCGCCAATCGTCAGCATTTAGCCTGGCCACCCT